GTCGGACACTTGTTAAAAATTTCCAAGAAATGCTTGGGAAAGTTAAATGTACCACGTCCTGGCAATAAAAACTGTGAAGGTGTGAGCGGGCGAGGTTCACCCAGCTCGTTGCTCTCGTATGTTAAAGGTCTATTATTTAGCACACACTCGAGTTCAGTTAATATTGTAGAGAGCTCTTCGAAAGTCAGTAATGCTCTCCCTAAGATTTTCTTCAGAGTTTCCTTGATGCTTCTCATCAAACGCTCCCAGAACCCTCCCCACCATGGGGAACGCTCAGGTATGAATTTCCATGTTACCTCTTTGGATGTCAAGAAATCTCTCACACTTGGCTCTGCTTTGATTCTTTTAAATCCTTTAATTATTTCACATGTGCTGCGGAAATTCTTGGCATTATCTGAATAAATCACTTTGCAGCTCCCTCTTCTTGCTAAAATCCGTTGTAATGAAAAAATGAAACTTTTTGCTGACATATCTTAAACCACTTCAGTGTGTAAGCACGAGTGACGGCGCATGTAAATAAGGCTATGTACACCTTTTTGTGGTTATCCGCTTTTTCTCTAATAGTAACTGCTCCTGTTAAGTCGATGCCTACAACTGTGAAAGGATTACCTTGGACTACACGATCTCTGGGTAACTGACCCATTAACTGTTTGGCAGGCTTCACTGCGAACGTTTTACACACCAGGCAAGTGTTATTAACTTTCTTTACTACTTTTCTTCCTTTAGATATCCAAAATTTATTCCTGACTTTGGACAATGTTGCCATGACTCCTGAATGGAATACTTTTATGTGTTCACTAAATATCACTAGTTCGGTGAACTTCGTTTTCGGCAGGGATGTTTTTCGTCATCTATTAATTCTGCTTGTTCCAGACAACCTCTGACACGCAAAATACCTCTACTGTCCAGATATGGTGCTAAACTGTAAAGCTTAGAATCTGGTGTTATTAGATTATTCCTCTCTAGTTGTTGAATATCCGAAAAGTAATTCGCTCTCTGTACTTGTTTTATCCAGTACTTCTCAGCTTCTTGGATCTCCAATACAGTAATAAGACATTCTTCACAGGCATGTTTTCTTAACTTGGTGACAAACCGCTTTACCCCAGCTGTAATTATCAACAATTTTTTGAGATTGCTGAATTTGGTAATGTTTAACGCATTTTCTTCTTCTGGAATAGTCACCTGAACATAAGTGCTTTAAACGTTCCAAATTTTGAGTATCAGTTTCTCTACTTTAAACTTCTGCTCAGGCCATTGATCTTTAGAATCTTTCAACCATGATGGACCATGCCACCAGTTATTATCTTTCACCAATGCATTTGCTGTTTCACCATGAGTTAATTTATCTGCTGGGTTTTCCGACCCTGGCCAATATTTCCACTTATCAGGCGAGGTACAGTCTTGTATTTCTGCAACTCACGAACTGCTTCCACTCACGCGCTGACCCCTTTATCCACCACAAGCAATTTCGGAGTCCGTCCACAGAACTAACCTACCTACCAAATCCTGAAACATTTTCAATAAATATTTCCCTAACCTAGCTGCAACTACAGCCCCCATCAATTCCAACCTAGGGAGGGACAATTTTTTTAATGGAGCTATCCTACTCTTCGACATTATAAACGACATACATACCTCTCCTCTCTCATTCTTATATCTAAAATATGCCACCGCTCCATATGCCACTACTGACGCATCACTGAAAATATGAATTTCAACCAACTGTCCTTTACTTAGAACTTCTGGAAAGTAGTACCTCTCTATTTTCCATGTGTTTTAATTCCTCAATTTCAGTGCACCACTTTGTCTATTTGCACCGTAACTCCTTTGGCAACTCTGCATCCCACTCTAAACCCCTCTCCCATATTTCCTGCATCAGTCTCTTAACTCGCACCACAAATGGAGAAATAAATCCAACTGGGTCAAACACCTTTACTGCTGTGCTTAACACCAATCTTCTGCTATTTCTCAACGATTCTAAATTACTTAACAATGATGTAACGTCTACTCTCAAATCATCCTCTTCTAAGTTCTACACCAAGCCTAACACTTTAAACTTACTATCTCTCTCAGACCTACTTTCTTCACACAACCTTTCTGAACCCACAAGTCATACAACTCTTTAGAATTAGTGTTTAGCTTTCTCAAATTAAAACTCGTGTCTCTCAAAATAGATACTGCCTCTGATGAAAGACTGAAAGCTGACTCTACACTTTCCCCTCCATAACACAAATCGTCTGCATACAGTGAGCTATTTAACATCTCGACACAGTTTCTGTTTGTTTCCGTGTATTTCTTTAAATGATATTTGATCGTTGCACTCAATAAAAACGGTGAACAATTACATCCAAATAATACTCTGTTCATTTGCATAATTTTAAAGTCCTCACTGTCATTATCAGGATACCAGAGAAATTTTAAATATTGCCTATCTTCCCTTGCTATCCCAATCATCAAAAACGCCTTTTCTATGTCACCGCAGAATCCAATTTTAAATTTTCGAAAAGCAAGAATGATATCCAAAATATTCGGATTTAGGTTTGGGCCTTTTTCTAAGCAATCATTTAACGTCAGCTTTCCTCTTTTGCGACTGCTGCAATTAAATACCATTTGAACTTGAGTGCTTTTTTTTATCTTTATGGACCACTGCTCGGAATGGCATAAAGTACCACTCTCTCGTATCCTCACACTTTTGAATAGTTTTGTGTCTGAAATTTAATTATTTCCATAAATTGTTCCCTCACAAGCTGTTACCTTTTAACTCTCGCTGCACCCTTTCGAACTGCCTTTTCGCTAAACCAAAATTATTTTCCAAATGCTCTGGACTCGTTTTCCACAACAAACGAGCCTCATACCTCCCGTCTACATATTTCAATCCTCTTCAAATTGTTTAATTATTTGCTCATCGCCAGCACTCCTTTCCGGCACACACTTAGAGATTCCTAGACTTTCAATCTCCTAAAGCTGATGAATCTGTTCCGATATTTTTAAATTTCTCTTCGGAATCGATGTGTATAAACAAGCCGGTGGAGTCTGACCCCGAACTTAACTTCTTACTCTCTTCCCCCACTCTACCACTCAACATCCAACCGAATATGCTTTCATGCAATACTAAATAGTCTGTTAACCAATGTGTTTTCCCCGTTAAAATGCAGTTCAAGTAATTATTCCCAATTAAAATCTGTACCTCTGCCACTTCACTATCGCAGCTGTTAGATAAGTGTTGGCGAAGCTCGTTTATAATTTCTGCAGATGGCCTGGGTAATGCATTGGAACATATGGTTTTTACTTCAAGTGCTTCGATGATTAGAGTGAACCCGGTCTTAATTTTTAAAGAAAGTCTTTTCCTTTTAAACTCTCGTACTGGCAGGTTCGAAGATGCAAATGTATGAATTCTTAATCTTTCTTTACCTATAGTTGGTAAACTTGCTTTTCTGGAAATAGACTGACAAACCTTTCGGAAGCAGAATCACATAACAACCTAACGTTAAATGTGGAATTATTTCCTACCAGTTGACCTCTCAGTGTTTGATAATAAATCACGTTATTAGGAATTTGCTTGCTCAGTGTTTCGAGGAATAGTGAACTAACATTTGTCTTTTTTGCTGCGCTCGCAGTATTTTTAATGGATTTATTTTCTTGCCCATCTGCATCACACAGGCTCTCTAAATGCGACAAAGATTTGCAAATATTGCATTTAACCCATTTTGCCTTAAAAATGGTTTTTTGTGACCCTTTTTTAAACAGCGCTTGCACTTAAATTGATTGTATAATGCTTTGTGTTTCTCTGAAATACTTAAGTCGCAGTCTTTTGAGAGGTGAGATTTAAGACAAAAGTCGCACATATAATTTTCGACTGATCTATTAAGCGTCGCCGCTAATACCATTTTCTTTTTAATTGAAGCAACACTCTTACGATAGTTGTCGGCATTTCTTTCACTTGTTATCGAAAGTGTTTGTTGTTTAAGACCCAGAGTTAATGGCTTTTCGCGTGCTTCTACTTCTCTCTTTAGAAACAACAATAAATCTGACACTATTGACTCTGTGCCGACCTTTTGCTCCCTACTAAACTGTAACCCTAAATCTTGCCGTATACACTTATATAAAATAGGAAGTAATAGATTGCTGTAAGAATTAAAATTAATATCTAATGTCTCTAAACTTCTTGTTTTAACTGTTATTTCATCATATAGTTTTCTTAAACTGTATACATCACTTGAACGACGTACTGGCTCCAAAACTAGGAGAATGTTCATATGCACGCTAACTAATATTTCTTTTTTCCCAAAGAGTATCTAGTTTATGCCACTCTCATCAAACTCTCAACTCTCTCATCTGAAAACTCTTAATTAGCTAAACATACGGGCGGCGCAGCACCCTCTATCTCTTTTATCTACATGTTGATCAGATGTGCTCCTTGTATCCAGAAATAATTGTAGACAGCTGCTTACGATATTTTTCAGAATGCTGAATAGAGTTGGAATTAATGCTTATCCAATTTATAGATAAAATTTTACGAAAATAAAAAGCAACAGTAGTTTTTGAAAGAATTGGCACTGGTATGAGATTAATGTAAAGGAAAGGCAGTCTGAAAACAAAAAATTGAAACAGAAAGTGCAAATTCAGAAGTCAAACAACAAAAATCGGCGTTTTCAAATTCTCACAGGACTAGTTGCGATGGTTTTACCGAACCATCATCCTCGGCTGTAAAAGCAAGTCCATTTGCACTTGTACAGCTGAGGATGATGGTTCGGTAAAACCATCAAAACTAGCCCTGTGAAAATTTGAAAACGCTGATTTTTGTTGCTTGACTTCTGAATTAGTATTTGTTCGGCATGTTATTGTGTGTTAATTACAGAAAGTGCAATTTATTTTATGTCAATTTTATTATTTTTTTCCTTAACATTAAAATCTTTCCATAGCACATATACTTTGCATTGTTATCCTACGTCATAGTATATAGTGATACTAGAATGTATTCTGAATGAAATTGCTTACAGGTGGTCGTATATGTACCTTTTCTCCATGCATCGAACAGGTGCAGAGGACATGCTTGGCACTCCAAGAATGTGGTTTCCAGGATATAGTGACAACAGAATGTTTGCAAAGGCTTTATGAAGTCAAGAAAATTACTCAGCCAGTTATTAGTTTTGAGGTAAATATTTTATTTCTTAAAATCAACATTGATTTAAAAAATAAATATCTGGTATAATTTAAAAAATTTTATGACAAAATACATGTTTTCTAAAATATCAAATTAGATTACTTGAAACCATTGGAATAGGCTGATAGTTTTTTAGCAGTTAATTAAATATTTAAAATGAAATAAATTAATTTTTTTAAATGTCACATTTGTTTGCAGGAATGCATCAATTTTTGTCTTATTTCAGTACTCTGATATACAGTATGTCTTTGCAGACCTACATTTTGAACAGGCTAGTGCCCTGTCAATAAGACAGTATCTGATATGGAAGTAGAATTAAAATTGACTGAACCCTCTAAATCACTGATGAATTATATTTTACGTAATATTTTCTAAAATCTGTAAGGGATATGTTTGCCAGTTTCATTTTATATAAAATGAAAAAGTTAGAACTGTTAAATTAAGTAATGGTTTTTCTGGAGAGTTCATTAAAAGTTTTTCTTCCAGATTGTCATTTGATTATATAACCTGACCTTAAGTAAGCACTAACTTTCTAGACTGCTGGACTAATTTCTATCTTGTCTTTTACCTTTCAGTACTGTAACACTAAGCAACTGCAACAATGAAAAACTACTAAAGAATTTAAACTTATACTAGAAGTACAGAACTAAAATAATAGGCAAAATTAACTTCCAGTTCTCGCGAAAGAAGTGCCATCCTTTTAGATTCTTCTGCTGCCTTACAGGTGATAATCAATCATGGTAAATCAATGCCTAAAAGTTGAAGAATATTGATTATTACTTAAATATTTAGTTGCTTCCAAAAAGAAACTTGAACAGTATTTGATCTCATTGGTTATGTTGTAGTGGACAGTCTGGTTTAGAAAAATACCAAAATACCTGCATATATAGTGAAAATCGTTTAAAATGAAACTGGGGGGGGGGCTGAAATATTTTTTCGTGTTAAAGGATATTGCAAAAATAAATATATATATTCAACAAAATTAAGTTTATTAGAGTACATTTTATTTACATAGATATGTATGTATGCATGTATTTAATAAAAATCAGTAAAACAAAAACATCCACAAGAACTTAATTTAATAAAAAAATTTCAAGTTTTTGAAAAACAAAGCACTTATTGAGTTTTTGGAAAACAATCTGATATTTTTCTTTTCATTGTCTTTTTTAGCATCAAATTGTTTGATGTCGTCCATTTTGTTATTCATTTCACTATTGGAGTGTGCATCTAAATAACTTTTCATGTTGTTCCTCATTTCGGATGACGTGGGAACAGGAGCTGCATTATTCATTTCATTTTTGTCGTCAGAATCTGCATCAATTGCATTTTTTTTAGCTTTGAACAAATTCCAAAATGTCTTTGTCTGCCATAATTGGGGCTGTATACACATTATCATCATCTACTGCAACAAATTCTTCTGATGATACAGTAGGATAGTCCAATAATACAGAAACTTTCTCTAATATTTCATTAAGTGTTGGCTCAGTTTCAGTATTGTTCTTCTCAATTTCCTTGGGCGCGAATCAAACTCTCTGATTTTTACACATATACTCATCACCGAATTCCAGAGCCAACTGAAGAGAGATGAGATGTTTTTGTGTGGCGTTTGTACGGGTGGAGGGTGAAAGTAGCTTAGATAAACAAAATTGGCTCGTATCACAGGCTATTCCGAGGAGTATATTCTGAGATAACCTCCTTCCTACGAAACTTGTGAAACTTTTCTACGTACCACCTCTCTTTCATTTCACCCCCTTCTTAAATCTCGCATGCATGGCTGGTGTTTTCCATATTTTGTTCATTCCCAGAAGGGAAATCTTTTCATGTTAAAAGAAAAAAAAAAAAATGTTTAGATTTAGATACATAAGAATTTAGATACATAAGAGTAGAGATACATAAGAATTTAGATACATAAAATAAATTTAGATACATAAGAGTTTGTCAGAACCAATGTATTATTTCGTGTTAACTGATATTTCGTCTTGAGTGTTTTCGCGATAAACATATTTCACTGTATTTCCTATTTGATACATCTTGCAAGAGCATGGTGAACAAGATCAAAAGTTCTTCTATTTTTAGTCTTTAAATCAGATTTAAAATAAAGTCTGGAGCAGGGGTCTTGAGGATTTACCAGATTACTTTTGAGATGCTGCAGTACCCAGGGTTAAACAGAAGGGTTAGCTCATTCCTTTGTGCAACTCCTCGCCGATGCGATCCTCATAGAGGGTGTTAACAGGAAGTAGTCAGGCCTCATTATGTTGCATCTGCTCTGACTTCTCCTGTTTAATATTAGTAATGTGGAAATTCAAAATTAATTTTAACCACATATATTGATTTCTACTAAAGCAGGGTCAGAGTAATTTTATTCTGCCTGTGAATGCATTTTCCATAAATTAATTTGCATTCTTATGACAAGAATTTGAAGAAAATGTCTAAGATATTAATGGTCTGGAGTTCAGTTTTACATTATTTTCATTGCCGAAAATGAACGTAACTGATCAGAAGATCTAGAAATGCAGCTAATTAATTTACACTGTAATATAAATCTCGTTAAAAGATTTTAAGACACAAATTTGATTAATTTTTATTAATACTTGTCAAAAGATAAGTATCTTAAGTTATGAATTTTTGCAATAAGAATATGCTCTTTGTTTTTGAGTACATTTACATGAGAACAGATTGGGGGGGGAGGAATTAAAATTTAATAGTCTACGAAAAGAAACAGACTGCTGATGAGTATCTACAATTTGTGATGTTACTTTTTAGTATTTGCGCCCCCCCCCAAGATTACAAACCTCATGAAAATTGAAATGTCATGAGGTGGTGTAGTAAAAAACAAAAATGTTTACAATAATTTACAAGAAATATTATTGTTTCTGTTTTGCATCTTAGTAAATATGGTAAATAAAATAAAGAGACTAGGTTGTCATTATTTATTCTCAAGTTTTGTCCCTCTTGAGAAGCTTTAGTATATTTCTTTTAGTTTAAATTAAAAGTAAGTTACTTAGTAGTTCAATATATTAATATTAGTTGAATAAATGCCAGTCTGAAAATTTTAATATTTAGCTGTTTGTTTGAATTCCAAATTGTGATCAATAAAAATTTCTTGTAGATACCAATTTCTAGATTTAATGCAAAACATTAGTATTGTTACGAATTTGGTATTTAAAAAGCTAGTGTTAGTTCAATTATAAATTAAATGGTTTTATTTCCTGCGTAGTGCAGCGCGTGGCGAGTATTAAAAGAAAGCTAAGCCGGAAAATTGACAATACAAGAGCGCGTGCATTAAACATTTAATAAATATCTCTTTTTGATTTTGAGAAAGTACTAAAAATTCTCGCATGCTATTTTAAAATCTTATAAAAGGAGGAAAACCTCTCAGTTTGTAGTTACTTAGTTTGTTGTTGTTTAGAAAACTGCTCTTGTTGACTGTAGCGAATTCGCGAATTACCTTTCTCTAGCTGTTTTGAATTAAGTTCTTTTGAACGTTTGAGTAGTTAGAAGATAACTACTGTGAGATATTGTAAAACTAAAAGAATATCTGAGGGAATTTAAGCATTTTGTGATAATAATAGATTTCTTGTTCATTTTTCATCGGACTTGTGCATTCATTTCGTAATGAACCCGTACGCACGCAACAATTTTTGGTGTCAGGAGTGGGGTTTGAATGCCAATAACAAGAGCGATGGAAGACCAGTTAAGACAGTTGATATCAGCTTTTGCCTCGTTTAAGGAAGAAATGAAAGAAGAGATGAAATCCAGCCAGGAAAAGATGGAAGCTGGCCAAGCATCATTTAAAGAAGACATGAAAGAAGCTGTTAAAGCATAAATGTAATTGGGCTAAGAATCCGTTAAAAACGAGATGAAAGCTGTTAAGGAAGAGATTACGTGCATAATAGGAAACAAATTTGATTTTATGGAAGGCAGAATAGACGCCCTTGAAAATAAAGTTGGAAAAATTCAAGAGAGTGTTTCGGCTGTGGAGCAACAAATCGAAGGAAGAGTTTCAGAAGTCCAACATCGAATCGAACAACAAATTGAAGAAAAAGTATATGTCGTCCAAGAGGAATCAGGAAAAGATTGAAACGGGACAGGAAGAAATGAAAGCGGGACAAGAAGAAATGAAAGAGAAGATGAAAAATTCTGTTAAAGATGAGATGAAAAACTTAAGGAAGAAATGAAAGTATTTCAAGCTGGTCAAGAAGAAATGAAAAGAGAAATTACCTGCATAATAGAAAACAAATATTTGAGGCTAAGGAAAATAGAATGAACATGGTTGAAAATAGAGTTGGAGAAATTGAAGAAAATGTTTCTGCTGTTTAACAACAAATCAAACAACAAATTGATGACAGGGTTTCTGCAGTTGCCAGAGAAGTTGATAATTTAAAGAAATTCGTAGCGACAGCAGGGAGCAATTCGGATGGTTTGAAATTTCTACCGATGCCTGCTCGTCCATCTCTGAAGCTATCCACATATGATGGAAAGACATCTTGGCAAGTGTATAAGACCCAATTTTCTATTGTTGCGGATGCAAATGTATGGGATTCTCAAGCTAAGGCTTGTCATCTTGCCGCTTCCCTGAGAGCAGATGCAGCGGATATCCTGCAGACGCTTCCTGAAAATCAGAGATTAGACTGTGAAGCTCTATCTTGCGCATTAGAGCTGCACTTCGGAGAAAAGTGTTTAAAAGACTACAGCAGGCTTCAACTAAAATCCCGCCAACAGAAGCCAACCTGTCGCGTTTGCTTACTGGAACTTTACTTCCACGGACGCCCTCTGGCGAAAGAGACTAAAAGTAGTGAGTTGAACGGCTGACGTGTCTAACAGATGTATAACGATAGACCGTCTCCGTATAAATTATGCTTGTAATCATTATAACTTGTAAATATTTTGTAGATATCTTTCATACGAATTAAAATTTCTTAAAAAGTTTATAGCTGTGTTGCGCAGTAAATCGAAGTTCATCATAGAGACAGATACCGAGAAGAAGGAAA